CCTTTGATCCAACAGCCCTTCAAAACAAGAAACATCTCCTGAAGCAAATATGATTTTTTTTTTTTGTTGTCCTTCCTCTGTATAGAGCCCTGACTGACTGTGATTGTACCTTTAAGGCTCTTCCAGCCAGCACAATTTAATGGTTTGACCTGAAGCCAGTTACAAACACGTGACCCGAGCGCTGGCATATTCTTATGTTTCTTTCAGCATATGGCTCAACTACTGCTCTTTAGATAAGGTGGATTGTATTCCAGTTACAACATGGGCCACAAATAATAGAGAATTGAGAAGCTCTTGTGCAAGTGTGGCCGAGTCTCACTTCACCACTGTTGTTTAGGAGTTATGTTGCTTATTATACTTGTTTTAAGGTATTATACAAAGTTTCACGTGGAAATTTATTACTTGTTTGCTGAATCTTAAAGTGTTTTTTAATACTTTCCATGTTTTTATCGTTAATTTCTAACGGGCTAAGACATGGCACTCAATTGCATAAAAATTAAACCTTTCAAAAGTACTCTTCCAGCTGTGTCGCGGAGTCGTGGAAGAATTAGTGAGTAATATTTAAGATTAGTGAAACTCTGCAACACTGGTATCATGTATGAATATTTCTAGCTCTAATACTTTTCAACAGTAAAAATTTGATTGATTTCCCTAAATATGTCCTAAAAGCTTGTGTATACCGTGGCTTATGTTTTGAAGAGTTGTGGGAGTGTTTCTGTTCTGCCACTGGCAGTCAGCCTTTCTAAATGAAGTTTATCCTTCCAGAATATTTGTTGACAGATGATGTTTATTTGTTTTAGTTTCATGTTTCCTCTGAGGCCAGAGGAATGTTCTCCTTTAATGTTTGTATTAACTTTCGTACAGCCCAGCGTGTCTGTATTTTTGGTGAACCCTCAACCATCGAATGGCCACTTCTCTACAAAAATTGAAATCAGGCAAGGAGACAACAGAGAGACAGTGATCAGACGCTTAATGAAGATGGACAGAGGAATCAAAGGTAAAACGCTAGCACAGACATAGAGCTGTCACCTGCTGATTAGATTAATGTTTCCAGGACAGAAGGGGAAACAAAGCTGCTGAAGTCGGTGCTGCTGTCATAGGTGCTTAGAAAGGAGCAAGAATTTTTGTGTTTGAGTGACCAGGACAAGAGCTAATCTGCAAATAGGCAAGCTTTTCTCTGCGTTTGCCTCATTAGTCTTTTGTTCTGCCACACCAAAACCTAGTTTCAGCCAGAGATTAATAGGGATTTTATTTCCCCTTGTGCTTTGAATTTCCAAGAAAAAGAGTTAGTCCCACACTGGTTATGGGCAGCTTCTACCACTTCTGTTTTGGAGCCCAGGGCTGAAAAAAAATTGTCAAATTTATTTTTCTTTTTAGCCTAGGGTGAATTAATTTAACAGTTGCTATGTTGGCTCCTAATAATTTCTGTCCCAGTTCATAGTGGAAAACTATCTGTTCACTTATAATTGGGATTACTGAAGAATTGCTCAATAGCCGATCAATTACCGTTGTTTATGCCAAACTCGAACCAGGAAGCCCTGTGGGAACTACTTTAATACTCCTTTTGGATCTTCTGAGCTATTTTTTCCCTCTCTACCCTTCTATTCTTTATGCACTAATACTTTATTTCAGCTGTTAAATGTTGAACTCTGTGGTGGTAAGAGAGGCAATAAGTACTGGAAGAGTTTCTTGGAGAGCGCTCGGTCCGTGGCAGGAGTGGATTCCAGTCTGAAAGCACTGAGACAAAAGCATTTCATCACCTGTGAACCCGACTTCGCATTTAAGCTGTTGTAGCCCTGCCTCTTCCATCCCCTGGCGCGAGCTGGTGGGGACCCAAGCGCGGGCAGCCGGGGAGCCAGAGCTTGCTGCTGTCTTTGACAGTCGTCACCGCTTGCTTGCCAGAGGCCGGTGCCCCGGTGGTGGTGCAGCGGTGGCTCCCGTGAAGTCTGCAGGCAGAGCCCGGGGGTGCTGCTTTTGCTACGGCTTATTTACCTGCAGCGCGTAGAGCGCTCTTAAGCGGCTGGTGTACTGTGGTTTGGGAACCTGAATTCCAGTGTAGGGGAAAAATCCAACTCTATGGAGGTGCCTTTTTTTGGCAAAAATCCTGGGATTGTTGCCCATAATGACTTTGCCTCCTCTTGCTTCTTTGCATTTGAAATAGTTTTCTGTCTAGTGACGTTATGCAGGGCTGTTATGCTGCCGTGTAAATTCTTGAGGTGACGTGTGCTGACAGGACAGAAGAGGAGAGATGCTGTTTTCATCTTTGTCACTGTCTCACTGTGTGGCACTGGGAAAATCTCGGCCTCTTCATTTTTTGCCTTCTTGCAGTTGGAGTAAAAGCTGCCTCTTAGGAGTGCTGCTGTCGTCAGTTTAAACATTTGTGGTATCTTGACAGTCGAAAGGTGGTCTTTGTTAGTGTTTCCGAGCGGGTGCTTTTCTTCAGTTTTTCTTGGAAATAAGCAATTTTTTTTTCTAGCCCACTTGTTGATAATTTTAGTATTTTTCACTTCACCGGCTTGGAAAGATATTTTAGGAAAACACAGAATAGTACGATAAAATTTCATGTTAGACATCGTTGAAACAAGCATTAAGTTTCTGGACAGTGTAATGAAAGGAAATAGCTTTCTTAAAGGGACAGCAGCTGTGTTTTTGTTGAAGAATGCAGGAATTAAAAATCAAAGAAGTCTGAAGCACCGTGAGCTGGGTATAAAAGGCAAACTAGACCTCATCCAAAAGCTTGTGACAGCAGAGTCACTTCTTTCTGTATCTTTCAACAGCTCGTGTTTATATTAATGTTTATCTGCAGAACAAAGACAACTACATACTGATGATGGTGCACACAGAGAAGGATGTGTGATCAAGTAGCAAAATACAGGTGGGGGGAAATGCACTGTGTATGCAGTAGATGTGTACGCGTATCTACTGGCTGCCTGTTAGGTAGATACTTTGAAGTGATTTAAAACAAGTGAGATTAAGCAGTGCCTCTCTCTTGCTCTTTGCCTTTTCCAGAAGGTGTCACTGTTCTGTTGGTGCACAAGGGCTGGACGGTTGCACTTGGAGGAAGGCTTGGCTGAGAGATCCCAGGCTTCCGAAAGATTTTCCTCGGTCTGCTTAGCAAGCAGCCTTTTATTATTTTATGTTACTAGGGAATTGTATGTAAAACAACTCTCACCTTCTCCTTTCTCCCAGTCTCTGAAATTCATTCCTCAGAGAATGATACCATAACTGCTCAGTTACTCGTAGCTGTCCCAAAACTGGATCAGGCAAATTTCGTGCTTTAGGGTAGTGTCAGGAGTTGGTATTTCTGTGTGGTTTGTCCCCACTTCTGCTGGTCACTTGCTGTGTAACCAGCGAATTACGTCTTTGCAGTAGGTGTAAATCTTCATGTGAATGTTATTGCCGAGAGACTGTACTTCCTTGGAGCAGGTATTTTAAAGTACCAAGTATTAAGTGTTGTTTTGATTAATTTGGTTGATGCTACAGCTTGTGTGTGGATCCCGTAGCCTGACTAGCCAGTCTCGTTACTGCAGATCTCTCTAAAGTGAAGCTGATGCGGTTTGATGACCCCGTGCTTGGGCCACGCCGTGTTCCAGTCCTTGGCAAAGAAGAAGCGGAGAAAACGCCCATTCTGGAGCAAGCTGTCTTCCACATTGACCTGGACGAGAAACGTGTTTGCATTTCTGAGAATGGTCTGACAAAGGACATTGGTGACACAGTTGTTTATCTGGTTCATTAAACTGGCACGTACCTGGCTTGATCCCTGGCAGTGAGAGCTCATAGAGTGACTTTGAAAGCATCTGTAATGAAAAAAGATGACAGCTTGTTCTATAAAAAAAAAAAAATCCAGCCCACCCAAAACAACCTAATTTGCATGCAAGTTCATCCCTACTCTTTTAAATGTGGATACAATAAAATTATTTTCCTCTGGCCCTTTGGCTTTTCTTGGAAAGAAACAGTTATCCTGAATGCTAACATGGCGAATCTCCCGCTTCAGCTGCGGGCAGTGTTCTCAGAAGCAAACTGGACTCCACTCTCAGCGTTCCGCTCCCTCCTGAGCAGACTGGCGTCTGGGTGGAGAGGTTGGTTGTAAATCTCCTGTAATAGAGGGGGAAAAAGTTGCTTGTGCACTTCTGTATTACTTTTCAATGACTCGACACCATTAGGGCACTTTTACATGGACTGGCAGTTCAGAAGTAATTCGATACTGAGGAACTCTTAAGCAGGAATTAAATAGGAAAGTTTCTGTGCTTCTCAGCTCTTGAAACAGGAGCGCTTGTGGCAAACACTGTTACTGACTTTTCCTCCCTTATTCTAAGTGGAAAGGTTAAGTGTTCTTTTTGTAGATTTTAAGTTGATGGGTTTTGGTAGTTTCATGCCTATCGCAGGCTGCTTTTTCCCTTCTTTTGAATCGTGAATCAACACTTGCAGCTTCAGGACTTCTGTCGGCAAATTCGTGAAGGTGGCTGGTGATTTTTGTCTACAGTGGTTTGTTGGCTTCCAGGAGGTGTCACTGCTACGCTGGCTGTGGTGCAATTTCCCCAATAAAAGCTGGTAACAGGGTAAAGATGTAGCAGATTTCCCACATTATTAACAAAATTCTGGCCTTAGTACCCTTCCTGTTATGATTTTGGTTAGAGGAATCTGGAAAGGGAACCTTTTTTCTCCTTTACAACTGAGCCAGTTTTTGAAGTGCATAAATTCGCAGCCATACCGAACAAGGCTATTGCTGTTGTTTCCCAGCGCGTCCAGGTTCCTGCTGTCGCACCGTGGGGTATTGCCTTGGCTCTCTGTGCCCTTCGGTTTTCATCTCCTCAGGAAAACGTGTGGATGCTTTTCTCCGACATGTTGTAAGCATAAATAATGTTTCTTAGAGAAGGAAGGTGAAATAATTCGGAAAAGGTCAGAGGAAGAGCAGGTGGCACCAGCGGCACGGCCTGATGCTGTGCCAGCCTGGAGGGAGCCCGGCATGGCGCAGCGACGTCAGCCGTGGGAGAGCCAGCTCAGGACAGAGAGCAGGCTCGTGTCCCCTGCAGGGGCTTTCCGGAGCGAAAGGAGTACGTCCCTGTGCCGCTGTTCCGCCCGTCTGGGTGCAGGGAGGAGAAGCGGGGGGTTTCGATCAGGTTGTCTCCCGCGTGCGTCCAGCCGGGGGTCCTTCGCGTCACGCAGGAGGCAGTGATGGGCGACTGTGGCACCGCGAAACCCGTTCCTCTTCTGTGCCTGGCTGCAGGCGCTCGATGGATTTGTGTCATTATAAAAACAAAGCACTTGGCCCTTGGGTTAAACCTCCCCGGCACCAGCAAAGTGCTGGGCCCGGTTTTTGCCGCTGGCGGGTTTGGGTTCGGTGTGTTTGGGGGAGGGAGGCGCTACGGGCGCCGCGGCAGTCATGCTGCAGCTGCGCTTACCCGCTCGTCCACGGGATTTCGCTCCGTCCCCGAACCCGCTGCGGCTGAACGCTCTGACCTGCGAACCTCCCGCTGCCGGGAGGGGCAAGAGTGGGGCGAGGGGCTGCCCCGGCGTGGGGAACTGGTATGACGTCATGGTGTGGACTGTGGTGATGTCACCTGTGTCACGCGCTGGGGCTGCTCCCAGGCGTCCGTGTCCACGCCTGGCTGGATGTCGCTGAGGTCCCATCACTGTTAATTCTTTCCTGGGTAACGCCGGAGGATGGGACGTCTTTTCTTCCTGGTCTCAAGTAAGGAGTGAAGTCAGGAGCCCCATCCCGCATTATAAATAATCTGGCGTAGTAAAAAAAATAAAAAATAAAATATCTATATAGAACCACATAGCTGATGAGAAATGAACGCTCACTGCTGCGTATTACGCTGTAGAATCTCTCTTGGCAGCGAGGCTTGGGCAGGGCTCCTCTTACTCAGGAATTCAGTTCAAAGCGGTTTATTAATCCCTCCAGGCTGTGCCGGCAGAAGAGAGAATTATTGACTCTGTGGCACCAGCAAAGTATCCAGAATCTATATTTTGTTTAAAGCAGAAACAGTTATTCTTCAGCAGTGCCTCATTGTGTCAGGAGGATTGCATGACCTCTGGTGAATTATTTTGTGCTGCAGCGGGAGCAGCAGCGATCGTCCCGCGGGAGCCGGAGCTGCGCGTGGGCTGCCGAGCCGGGCAGGGCGACCCGTGAGGTTGGGTTAGAGCGGTCGTCTGTAATGTCTGTGCTGTGCTTTGGAGGACCCCCATTTGTATCAATCGGTTCTGAACTGTCCACGTGGCAGTGGTAAACTGTTGTGCTGCGGCAGAGTGGGGCTCTTGGGTCCATCTGGTTAAGATGAAGGGACCGGGGCTCTCCTCAGCCTCCCCTTTCCCGCTGCCCCCTCTCCTGTCCTGCAGGCGCTGTGCCGGGCTGCTGGGGCTCGGGAGCAGAGAGTGACGCCACCAGCACCTGACGGACACCCCCAACCCTGGAAAAAAGGGACCTTGAAGGCCCTTCCAGCAAAGCCGCGACTGGTCTGGTACGTGACCAGCAGGGCTGGGGAGCCGAGAGCGGGTCGCAGCACGGCTGTTAGCACCCAGGGGGTGACCCGTGGTGACATGGCTGTGAGATGCTGAAGTCCTTATGGGCATCGTCGTCTGCTCTGGGAGCACTCGTGCCTCGCCGAGGAGGAGGAGGGTGCCAGAGGGGAGTGAGGAGCGCAGCGGCAACGAGGTGTGGGAGCAACCAACGTCTTGAACTGGTATAAAGTAAAGCAGAACAGTAGCACTAATCTCATGAATATTCTTTCCTCCTCCACAAGGTCAATCCAAATATATAGTGTGTGTGTGTGATCAAAAATGGACAGAATCTTTTAATTTTGTGTCTTTCTGTTCCATTCTCCAACGCGTGGCAAGGCACCGGGGCAGCCCGTGACAAGCCAGCCAGTGCGGCCGCTGCCGGACCACCGGCCCCTGCCACGTCTGCCACAACCAGGCAACTTGTATGACTTTGGGTGGCTGCTTCTCGCTCCCCGAGTGCCTCTGTAGCTCCCGCGGCAAAGAAACACCGAGACAACAGAAGCTCGAACCCCCCTAATGGGCAGCGCGGCCCCGGGTGGTGGTGGGGGGCTCAGGGCGCCGCGCGGGCGGGGGAGCGCGGCCGAGAGCTGCAGGGAGGTAAATCCGCGCTTATCTGTGGCATAGAGGGGATTTGATTGTTGCTCCTCTGATCTTTAAGTAGTGGCCGTTAGAGTAATTTCTGATCCATTAAGCAGGGATGTATGTCTAACAGTAAGAATTTTTATTTCTTTTGACGTTTTATTTCTTTAGTAGCAGATTGGGTTTTCGCATCCTTTTTTCTCTTTTTTTGGGCGGGGGTCACATTACTTTCCTCCGGGTTTCTTTTATGTCTTTCATAATGTTTGAGGAGGAGAAAATCATCACTGCTAATTTGCATTAAGGACGTGAGTTAGATTCAAAGGCACGGAGCACTTCAGCAGTGCTGTCTGAAAATAGTTCTTCGGGTTTTGTTCTGCCACCACTCTCAACGCGGGGCTGCGTCTTTGATGGAGGGAGGTTTGGGAAGCTCCGTGGCCGAGTACGTGGGAGAGGAGACCACCGGGGGGTGAAGCGTCGGGGCTGGACCGAGCTCTGCAGCAGATCGGCCGCGCACCTTGCCCTGCGCCAGGAGCTGGCGAGGAGAAGGCAAACCCCGGCCTTTGATCGGTTTTCCCAGTTGATTCTTTGCTGGTTTCTGTCCTGGCTGCATCAGTTAGGCCATGAGATGGTGCTGCAGGTGCTGATTGCTTAAAACTGGGGGCGCAGCTCCAGCTCCAGCCCTGCGCCCCGCACAGCCTCCGGGGTCCCTCCGCACAGCCCGCGGCACCCTCCCGCGGGGGCTGATCCTCCGGCCGTCAGCCGCCCCCACCGTTCCCGTCCAGGCAGTGCCCCCGTCACGGCGCACTGGGGGCACTGGGCACCTCCTGTTTCCCAGCCCCCGGCATTTTTAAAGAACTCACTTAAGGACTGTGGGGGTTTCCTAAGCAGGGCCTACCCACGAGTTTGACAGAACAGGAAGCGTTATATTGTAATAGTACATTGCTTAAGGGGCTGTTACTGTTATAAAACGTATTTGAACAGCGTGATTCCATGGCAAAGGCCCGAGAGCTTTGGCTCTGCCGGGGATGGTGTGTTGTGCTGCACGAGTTTACCCCCCAACTGGAAAGGAAAGGCCACACGTGAACCGCATCAGACTGCGATAGCAAAGTGGTATTGCACTTCCTTCAGGCGACAGCGGTGAGAGACACGGCCGAGACACGGCCGAGTGCCCAACGGGGCGTCAGCACTGCCCTCCTGGGTGCGCCGCGGGTGATGCAGTTCCTGCTCCGTCCCCCTCTCTCTGCTGGAGCGTTTCACAGGTCTGAAGTCTGTCTGCACTGCTGTTGGGGACACAGCTTGCAACAGGTTCTCATTCCTCCAGTTAGCACCAGTTCAGCGGCAGAGGAGACACCGGTACCCCACGTGTGGTGGGACTCAGTACAGCGCTGGAGATAACATTTGCCATCAATACAAAGAATGTGTTGGAATTGAAGCAAAGTTGGAGTGGGGCTGTGCGGCTCACCCCCCCCGGCGGTGCTGGGGTGGTCGGTGCCGGGGAGTGGTGCCAGTGCCGGCGCGGCACTGCGGGGGAGAGCTCTGCCCCGGCGGGGGCTCGGTCGGGGCACACATCGCCGGTGGGTGCCCCTTCCCCAGAGGCGCCGCTGTGGCTCAGTGCCTGCAGCCGATGGCAGCGTCCCGGGGCGCTGAATAGCGGGTGA